CAACAAAGACTACTTCCAAGTGCCTTCGCCTTCCACAGAAAGTAAAGTTAGAATGTATCTGCACTTTTAACTTTAATATATTACTTGAGCCACTTCGACTTTCCTTACAGCTTTGTCCAGTCCTGCATCGCTTGGTCGTCAGCATGCTTGTCATTCCCTGAAATTACCACCCCAACGGTCCTTCAAAAAGCACTTGACAGGGCTTTAGCTATTCCGGACTGCCTTTAGCTTATATTGACCGTTGTCATCTCATCCTCACTTTTACCACTCTTAGACCGCTCTGAGTTGTCTTATCGACAAAGGGACCTCACTATGTTATACGATTCAATTCCTACTTAATTTTCATTTCCTATTTAATTTTTCAAACTCTTAGCGCTAATTATCATTCTTTGGAAAGCAAGAATTTAAAATTAACCATAGGAAGCTGTTTTTCAAATGCAATTTCATAATGCTTAAATGCAGAGCGAGAACTGTATTCGAAACGCGACTGTTCTTTATATCCGAGCATTGGCTGAACTGCTTTCTGTAGTGCAGGTAAAGGTGCAACTGTTGTTACTGGCAATGGTTTGGAGATTACAGGAGATTCTGTCTGATAAAAAGACGCTTCTGCAACATCTGAGCCATTTCTGGAACTCTGCTCGAATTCAGAAGTTAACTCTGGGTTGTAATAATTGCTTGGACTAGGAAGAGCCTGATGCACTGGTGGTTGTCCAGATTCATATCCTTTTTCAAGTGTTTGCTCGGTACGATAGGGTGGCGTTGGTGGGTGATGTTGGTTAACAACGAAGTGCCCATCGGGCACATAGCTAGGTACCTGCTGAGGTTGATAGTCAGTTGGTGTGGAGTAAGATTGGTATTTTTGTTGGAATTGTTGAGCAGTGGGTGAAAAATGGGGTTGATAACTTTGTTCGGCTTGGTAAACGCTTGATGAAGGATGAATTTGTTGTTCAGGTGAATAATCAGGTGCCGGGGAATTTCTGTACACTGATTCAAGATAATGGCTTGGGGCAGCCTCAG